CCCCCAATAATAATTTCTGCTTAGGCCCCCCATTTGGTTAGTCTAGTATCACAATTGGAGCAGGTTAACTTGATGTAACTCTTTATATGAAAACATTTTGGAATTTTTGATGTTTCTTTTTCAAATGTTACTTTTTTAAGTGGCCTTAATTAAGAAAATCTGAATTTTATTGCTTCAACACCTGACTATTGACTCAAATCGTTCAACGTGACGGGGATATGTAAATCCACAAAATTACTCTGCTGTTGATTGCGTTTCAAGTTAATGAACATTTACAAACGCAGACACGGCTACAGTAATTGGGTTTTGCCAGCGGTATCTCTGTTCCCATAATGTCCTCGAATAAACGGAACATATTTCTTTGGTCCTGCGACATATATATGGTACTCGATGCAAAGGTCAAAAAGGGCATTCGCTTGTGTGTGTGTGTGCAACAGGGATTAGATAGGCATTCATGCATCTGCGTCACATGCCGGTCGATGCTCCATCTCTCTGTGTATAATCCACAGCAAATCTTCCATATCCACATTGAATCTCAGATCCAATGAAAAAAATGCCTTGATAACAGTCAAGCATATGGACCACAGCTGCATGCCTGGGTTTGGTATAATTTATTCCTATTTATAAAATACAGTGGGACTTTGATGTTAGCGATTCCATGGCTGTATTATTGTATTTTAGCCCCTTCTGAAATATTACGACTTCACCACACTAATTGCTAAGAATGTCGTGGGACTGGACGAGTTGATTGAGGAAAGAAAAATGGAAATGGAAATTGACCCGTCTGTAAATATATTAAAGAAGAGGCGGCCGCGTGACTCAGAGGTCCGAGCACTGAGCTGGCACTGCTGTTTAGAGCCTGGGTTTGAATCCAAATAGTCGCTTGTCATTAAATCGGATTCCCAAGTGCAGTGAGCCGATGACTGTATGTGCAATGTGTAAACATACAACACGGCACAATACAAATTTACTTGAAACCAGATAACTCTGCCTCTTCTTTCAAAATGTACTTGGATTTGGTTTTGAAGTACAGTTTTTGCATTGTATGTGTATGTATGTTGAACTGCTTTTGCACCGTACGTAGCCGACCATGCTATTCGAAGGTGCGGGGGAAAGACAACAAACTGAAAAAAAAATGTGTGTTTTGTGGGTTTTTTGGCATTTGGATCAATTCCAGCTATGAGCACTAAACATCGGTTGGACTGCCATGTGAGATCTGAATGGATGCTTCTTCATCTCATGCCCTGACACCCATAGCACAATTGGGATAACGTGTGGGGGAAATCACTTTTTTTAGAGAAAAGAAAGAAATCTGATCGTAAAGAAGATCCTAAAGGAGAAATTTGCATCGGAAATCTAAAAAATTGTGGACCCAAGTTCAATATTCTTTGGATCCTTTATCACAACACAAAGGTGGATGCATACAAGACGTGGTCAAATCGATTTCAACAATAGCCCTGCTTTGTAAAGATGACTTAAGAATGCCCAAGATCAGAACGGTGAAATGTCTCATTCCCAAAATGGCTGTGTTACGTAGCCAAATCAATGAGACCATACGAAGACTGGGGCTTTTCAAATGTGGTTTTTGGAGAAGCATTTTATGCATTTCGTGGCTGGAAATAAAAATGAATGATTACCCAGGACAAGTGGGTGAAAGAAAGAAATTGTTGCCAGATGTTGAAAACTGAAGCACTTTTGGGTCATGTGCGTAATTTCGACAGCAATCGAGAAATTGATGATGGAAGGCAGAACGTAAAGGAGTAGGATGACAAAAACTGAACATGAATTGAAATGGCTGGAGATAATTGTCAGTTTATCAGGAAGGCATCGTATTTCTACGAGCATAGAGAGTGCATTAATGTGCTTATTAATGCAAGTTAATCGTGATTTGCAAGAGCAATTGAACATTGGATGTGTGCCTTTCCTTTTATCCTTTGGTGTCTTTAAAGGGTTAAGCTATTGACTGCACTGCACTGAAATGGAAAACAGCAAATTATACGTGTAAATGCGCATTGCATTCTTTTAAAGAGAAAATACATCACAATGTTTTCACACTTCAAATAAGCCGTTAAAATACATTTTAAAAAGTAGGCAGATCTCGAGTGCCTGAAAAGTTTAGTTTTTTTGTCAAATCGAGACCAATTAGAGGGCAACTTACATGTTTGTGCTGTAACTTATTACATCTGGCAGGGCTTAAAAAGACAAAGTTCCATGCATAGCTTAAAATATTAAACTTACGGTCAAACTCCATTTAAATATCCGGGGATTCGCTCATTTATCCGGGGGGGTGTGACCATAGATAACCCTAGTAATTGAAAGAATTTGTCGAATAACCCTGCTTATCCGTGGTCCTGACCTCGGATATGCGGCTATGTGGTCGGACGTGGGACAACATTGTCCGGAGCGAAAGAAGTTCAACATACATACATTGTGTGTGTGTACTGTGTGTGCTACTCGGCAGGCAGCCGCCTCCTCGGGTGGTTTCGCATCATGTGCCCCTTTAATTTTTTTGGAACGCATCTACTACCGCAAACGTTCCGGCAAAAGTCCGGTCCTACAATTGCTTGCTCACACGCCTATTCCTCCATGTTGACAAGACACGTTGGAAGAGATGGGAGTCCCTACACTTTACCCCACCACACGTGACTTGCCGATCGACCAACGGCGATTTAAAGCTTTCGTGACTGCAGGGATTCATCTTCTTGGTTCTTTCGGTAAAGTCACGTAGAAGGGAAGTAATAAAATAATAAAAATAAAACATAATAAAATCAAATAATTCTCACGACGTTTCGGCTACAATGCAAGCAGCCATCTTCTCTCTTCACGGCTGCTTGCGTTGTGGCCGAAACGTCGTGAGAATTATTTGATTTTATTATGTTTTATTTTTATTATTTTATTACTTCCCTTCTACGTGACTTTACCGAAAGAACCAAGAAGACGACCAACGGCGGTGTGCCCATTTCTACTGCTGAGTGGGCAGAGGCCGGGGGATGAGGTGGGGAGGGCGGGATGCATTTCACAAACTCAAACCATTCTCGCAAACTTGCCTATCTGCGAGTCGGAAATCCAAATGGCGACCGCTGTGCTCGACCATATTGGATACTTAGCTATTTGTGTGATGATGGGAAAACCTGGAGTAGCTGTCCTTGCTCTACAATGCCGATGCTAAAAGGAGCAGTTGAAGAACAAGAAAGGCCGCGTAGTTTTGTAAATTTCACCGGGAGGAGTGGATTCATGTCCTGTAATTGCCTCCATTGCTGATGGTCTTGAGCTGGTCGTATTTGTAAATTGTTTAGCTCAATGGTGCAATACTATCTGAGATAAAGTCTAAGTTCTGAGGATTAGAAACTCGCGTTTAGAGTATTTGGTTGCTGCACATTTCCATGTGATAAGCCATTTCATCGACCTATCATTTATGGCCAGGTCGCTTCTGAAAAAGAGCTACATAGCTCAGTGGGCCTTACCTAGTAAAATAAACATAGTTAATAGTTAACAAGAACTGATTTCATCACTCTACCTGCTGGGTGGATGTCCTCTCAGACGCGTTCCATTCCTTGGCTCCCACTGTGATTATCCGTGAACATCGGCCATCATCTCTTCTAATCTTTGCCGTGTCCAGCCCAAGCTTTTGACGACACGGCAATGAGTGGAATAGCAAATACATTCACATGTTTTGGAACCGACAAATATGTAAACGGTATCTTTTTCTGAGCTGTCAACTGCACTTTTACACTTCGGATACATTTGTATTTTTTACTGACACATAAATTGCTCAGGATGTTATATTATCAAATTCGATTTCATACTTGTTTTGGCTATTGATTCCTGTTGATGGACCATGTTAAAATAATGTAAACAGCTTGTGTTGCATCATGTCTTAGAATATCGTTACGCATGCATTTTTTCAAAAATGTTTGTATGTGTACATTGTGCGTGTCCGTGCTTATGTAACGTCTTTAAATGGAAAGGCCAATAAAAAAAGTATTTGGCAATGTCTGCAAATCAAAAAATTATTTTCAAAAGATATTTTAAAATATATTTTGTTGTTGCTGGCAATAAACAGAACACAATTTTGAATGTTTTAAGCTACAAGAAAAAGCAATTTCTCTTTTTTTATTTTAAGTGCATCAATTTTACTCATTTTATCCAGTTTTATGATTTGTCTCACTGTTTTGTTACCATATTGCACGTTGGTACTTAAGAAAATGTGTTTCCCATATAAAACTGGACAACATTTTGTAACTTCTTTCCACTTTTTTTTTCAAGGTTATGTAACAATTTTTCTTGCATTTTGTCTCACTGCTTGGAAAATGTAGATACTTCTGAAATTGTGACAAGAATTATATATTTTCTTTGGTGGGGGTTTGGAAATAATGTGAATAATTATTTAACATATTATTGGTATTCGCGATGTTGCACATGAAAGTATTTTAGTCTGCCAGTAGGAGACGATTTTGCAATGTTTAAGTCACCTGTGATTAAATTAGCAAATCTGGATTGCGACACCGGCACATGTGGCCGACTCTTTTGTAATAACGCAACAAGAGCTTTAACATCCATCGCGAAGTAGACGACGCGTATTCATGTTGAATAGGCCTACAGTATTAACCAGGGTGGCTACCAGCATGAACACCACGACCCTCTGCAACAAGCGATATAGTGTGTATGTACGTACGTTTCACTTATTTCGCACCGTACGTAGCCAATCGTGCCAACCGGAGGTGTGGGGGAAGGACAAAAACAACAACACAGCAGTTCCAAAGAAATTATTTTTTTATCTGCATTTTAAAGTGCATGGCTCCAGTGACTTCCTAATATCAGAAGGAAGAGCGTTCCAGACGGCCACAGAAGCGCATCTGAAAGCACGTGATACAGTGACCATCTCTGTTCGATGATCAGTGGCTATGTTTGTAGCATTTATACTCCAGTACTGCATACGATGGGCAATGTGCACTGCATTTGCTAACTCCTATTCCACCTCCTTTCTGCAACGTGTGCAGGGCAAAAGGGAAGAATGGCCTTGGTCTGCTGTCTGTATTGCCCAGCAACCCAAGCCAGTGGGAGATCAACTCTGAGATCATCAATAGTGGCAAGCTCTCTGTGGCCACCATGCATATTCTAAGAAAGGAGAGCAGCATTCCTGACAAGTAAGGATTGAACAGAGGGCTGTGTATTGAGACAAATTGAATGGGACAATAATTTTCATAAATCATTGTTCTTAAGAACATGTGTTGCTGTTTGCTGGATGTGGAGTAAGTGGTGGTGCTAGCACAATGGGGGCACTCATCAAAAAAAACATTTGGGGGCCCCCCTTTAAACTTATACAATCCTAGTGAGATAACAGCAGAGATATAGACAAGAGATAATAGATGCAGTGAGATGAGAGAAATGTCGGCTAAAAAAGATTCATAATATAGAGTCAAACAGAGATGTAGTCAGATGAGAGAAGAGAGATGCAGACAGGATAGAAATATGATAGCTGATTTGTATATTACTTATTTAATGAGCTCGTCATGTTTATTTGTATTTGAATTATAGCTGATATTTGATGCATCCTTATTTCATTCATGAATCTGGTGCACCCTTGAGCTCTTTGCGGCACAAAGCCCTGCACTTGTTTTTGTTATGCCTCACGTCACCACTGTCTTGACTACCGGATTGTTGCCTTGGTTTTGTTTAATCTTAAGAGTAACGATAAAGGTCAGATGAATTACTTGGTAGGATAACTCAGGGATCGGGGCACTGAACCAGCACCGCTGAGATGCCGGGTTCAAACCTGGGCAGCCACCTTTGATTTAATCCGCGCAGCCACTGATGCGGTCACTAATGACTGCACTAAAAAAAATTCACGTCTTTTTCCCCTCCCACTTAAATTGGTTTATTACACCGCTGAGATTTCAATTCTCTTTGATTGGCATGCAATCATAACACTGTTTGGAGGGAATACACTGTTTGGAGGGACAATGTGTGCCCTTGATATGAGTAAAGAGGCTCTTTTTTAAGTCACCCCAGAAGCAGTTCTGCGACATGATTTTCAGGGCCGTCTTCCGAAAAGAATGGTACACTTCTTGCTCTGGGAGATCTGAATGGATATGTGTTTATTTGCTTCCTGACACGATGCCGCACATGTTGATGTTCATGATGATGACGATGCTCAAAGAAAATTTGCAACATAATTGACATCCCTAACAAACATATATCATCGGATGCCAGCAATGGACTACCTGGTGTCCGACCTTACCGGAAACAAGTAAACCCGTAAAAACAAAGTTTTTCACTATAAATCCTTTATATGCGTGGCATCGGGGCGGCTAGAGTCCTCTCGTCCTCTGGCAGCATTAAACAATTGGTAATTAAATATTTTTAAAATATTCCCTAAACAGTGTAACATTTTGGAAAAAAAAATTCACGAAAATGCATTGTCATGCACAACGAGTCTGTGTGCAAAATATCAGCTCGATTGGATCACGGGAAGTGGGTTAAAAAACGACCTAAAGATTTGCACGGTCCTAAGCAAGCAAGCGAACTTAATATAAAGGATTTAAAATAAGTATAACCCGTAAAAACAAAGTTTTTCACTATAAATCCTTTATATGCGTGGCGGCTAGAGTCCTCTCGTCCTCTGGCTTGAGATGGCTGCCACCTATGGGTCAGATGATTGTCTGCCAGTATTAAGCAATTGGTAATTAAATATTTAATTTGTTTTCCCTAAACAGTGTAAAATTTTGGAAAAAAATTTTCACGAACATTAATTGTCTCGCACAACGAGTCTGTGTGCAAAATGTCAGCTCGATTGGATCACGGGAAGTGGGTTAAAAAACGACCGAAAGGTTTGCACGGTCGTAAGCAAGCAAGCACGCAAGCAAGCAAGCGAACTTAATATAAAGGATTTAATAAAGGATTTAAAAACGATGCAGCACGCGACTCAATCGAGTCCGCACGACCCACGCCAGATCCGGTCACCATGTTCATAAGGGGCCGTTCATAAATGAAGTCACGCACCTAGGGGGGGGGGGGGGTCAGGCATTTGTGACGATATGTGGCGAGGGGGGGGGGGTGAGAAATGTGACGTCACATCAAAATGCGCTACTTTAAATAAATATAGACAACACGTTCTAGTTAATTAAATAGACGTTTTAATACATGTTTCCTCCTACAACATCAGTGCAGCGCCACATTAAATACGCACTACAATGACAATAGTTTAAAGCGATTTGAAGTATGTTTTATTTTCAAAATGGAAATATGGTTTGGGGGGGGGGGCAGAGCTTTGTGACGTCATATTTGAGGGGGGGTCTGACTTTTTGTGACGCCGTGTGATGAGAGGGGGGGATCAAAAATCGTCCAAAATCGCGTGACGTCATTTATGGACGGCCCCTAAGTGGAAAATGTGACTGCGGAGCCCCGCTTACCAAACCGTAGAGTGCATTGTGCGAAACCACTGCCAACTTTGCAAATTCGACGGAAGCGTAGCAGCAGCAGCAGCAATTCATTAGCCCCACGTGACCCAAATCTGGATAGAGATCTTTCAGTTGCTATTCACGAAGCCATACGTGGAGAACAAGATTGCAGTGAAGAATGCGATAGAAGGAAAACAATGTCAGGCAAACGTTACGTTTGTGAAATGTGAATCATTATAATAGCTTCGAGTTGTTTGTGATAAGAACGGTGTAGAGTCATTGTTAATGCACATTCCTCTATACTGTCCGCTCTCTGCAGGTTTGTGTGGAGGTGTTTTACGCGTGCGTGCGCCTTTGTACTTCAGCATGATTAAAATTACTTGTGCATGCAATTACATGCATAAATACACGTGACGTATACTGCTCCTCTTTAGCACGAGCGTTGATTCACAACGCAAACTCAGTATGCGTGCGTAGCCAGAGAGCATTATGGGTAAAATCAATATAAGCAAAACTCTATTTTGTTTCCATGATGGGCTAAAAATGTTGACTTTAGTCTACCATATTGGCAAATAAGATCATGCAGCATTTGTCTAAACAAGCAAAACTCTGGAATGCTCTTGCAAACAACATCTGGTAATCCAGAGGCATTTGTTTAACAAGCCTGACTGCTGATGAGACCGAGAAGATTTAAACTGGTCCAGGGGTTGCTTACATAAACAATTGTTGCTTTATAATCTTGTTTGGAAAGCCAATAGGCTGATATGTGGAGATACAATGTAGTTCTGCTTATATATTGTCTAGTCACAAGCTTTTTTTATATTTTGGTCGATTTTAATTAAAATGCTCAAGATTCAATATGATCGCATTACTAAAATGACATAATCTTGGAATTAAAACGTTGTGTGTATTGTAATCAATTATTATGTGTTCACCATTAATCCATTTCCATTCAATGTAATTTTGTGAGTCTGTTGACCGAAAGCTGCTTTTTAGTTTATCTAACAGACCAACATTTGGTCTATGGTAAATCCATTTCTTTAGTGATGTGTTTAGATTACTATAGATCTGAAACACGAGAATTATATTTGTAAAACTTGAAATAATTAAAGTTCGAGTTTGGTTTACTGAGAAAAGTTGAGAAATTGCCAGTCAAAAATTCGCATGCAGATGATTGGTCTTTAACTTGCACCACTCTCTTTTCCTTTCGGCAAAGGCTGGCACAAATTTCCGAATTTTCAACAGCACCACGGCCTTTTCACAGTCACCCAGCTACTGGACATATGTGAAAAAGAGCTGTGTACCTCATCGGATTCCTCCAGTAGATATAAACATTCTGATCCAGAGCCTGAGTTCATGCTTTCAGCTATGATCACTGATGCTGTATAAACGTCAGGCAGAGACTCGGGCAGAGACTCGGGTGCCATTACATATGTTTATATCCCCATCTACCTCTCCTGGTTGACAGCACACTATAGCTGGCATGTCATGCCTTTCTGGACCACAAATCTGAAAACAAAATGAGTCCAAGACCCACAATTAAATGCCATATAAAACCGTAGAGTTACCGTATTACTTTCCTACCCCAGTTTAACCTAATTTTTATCATACTAAACAGGTTAATATTGCCTGGTGGACATTTTTTATCTATGTGTAGTGAGTCCAACTGAGTCGCAGACGTTATTCTTCCGAGGCAACACATTTATTGTAACACGTATATACAAGGGGTAACTGTCCCCGTACCAGATACAGCCTGGGGTGGTGACCACCCAGCTAACTACACTACACACAGGAGTTACAGCTACTAAGAGTCGGACCCTCACTCGGGTGCCCGGCCACGTGTTGATGCCTCGTAGGACGTAGAGCTTCCAGCTTGTAGGACGTGGAGCTTCCAGCTTGTAGGACGTGGAGCTTCCAGCTTGTAGAACGAAGCGACCCCGGTCCCTCTCAGGGACCCACCTTTTATCCTCCCGGGTCGGGGCCCGCTCCGCCCTCGGCCCCGCCCGCCTTCTCGAGCCTTCTAGCTCCCTCCCGATCCCTCTCGAGAGCTCTCTCCGGACACGTGATCACCCCCTAGCCCCCCCCACCTGGGGCCTTCTCTGACGACACTCTGGATCACGTGTCTATGGGGTCAACCAGAGTGCCATGGCCCGGAGCAACCCTGCCCCTGGGCTGACACTCTCCCGCTCCCCCTTGTGGGAGCCCCCACCACACGCTATGCGTGGTGCCCGCACTATCCCAGTGCTCGTCAAGCCCTGCTAGGGCTGGTACTACACCCATCTACGTGGTGTATGCGATGACGGTGCATCGCACGCCGTGCTGTGCTAAAGCCGGCATCACACAGTAACCCACCCGGTGCTGTCCGCGACGTAAGAACATCGCACGCCACGACCCTCCTGGGCCGGCACCATACAGTGACATCCCCGATGTCACTACATAGGCATTTTCCTTTAACTCCACCGAGACAGAGTGCTTTGCCCTGTGGAGAAGACTCATCTGCCACCATGCGAATCAGACGCATTAAATTTACCCTTAGATATTTCAGAGGTGTATAATGTTTGCGTTGCAACTATAGTCTCGCTGTGATCTATGTAACTTATTTCCACATGGCATCGAAGCGAATTTAAATAGACAACATTTCCTGGACGCGAATTCGAAATATTCAAGTATAACCGTAGATGATCGATATTCTTTATCTTATATATATATTCCGGTGCCAGTGAACTTGGTAAAAAAAAAAATCTTGT